CGTGCGCGAGCGGTGCAGCACCGGCCGCGGGAGCAGGGAGTATTATGGGCTGTGGGTGCCGCTGAGCAAGATGGAGCTGTCTGCAGTGGGCGAGCGGGTCTTCGCGGCCGAATCCATCATCAAGCGGCGGATCCGAAAGGTGAGCGGTCGCCCGGGGCTGGACACCTCGCCCTGCAGACGTTGCCCTTTTCCGCGGCTGTGTGGCCGCAGCGGTCCCGCTATCCGGGCTCCCTCGCCACCCCCGCGTCGCCGCCGCCGCCGCCGCCTCGCGTCCCCGCATCCTCCCCGCCCCCACTCCCTCCTTTTTTTTTTCCTTCTGTTTTTCAGGGGCGCATCGAGTACCTGGTGAAATGGAAGGGGTGGGCGATCAAGTGAGTGTGGCGGGGGCTGGGGCGAGCGGGGGAGGCACTGGATGCCGGGGCCTTTTTTTAATATTTTTGGTGCGCACGTTGGTTCGCTCGGCGTTTGCCTCTGCCTCTCTGGCTCGCTTTTTATTTTGTGCGCGGGTCTCTCGGCAGGTACAGCACTTGGGAGCCGGAGGAGAACATCCTGGACTCGCGGCTCATTGCAGCCTTCGAGCAGAAGTGAGTTTGGGACGCTGGCCGGGGCGCGGGGAGGCGGTGGGCCGGGAGGGCGGCGCGGAGGGGGCCGGAGAAGGGGCACTTTTTAACCACTGACGTTTCTCTGCCGCAGGGAGAGGGAGCGTGAGCTGTATGGGCCTAAGAAGAGGGGACCCAAACCCAAAACTTTCCTCCTGAAGGTAACCTGGCCCAGTCCCAGCGGCCCCCTCTCGGGCCCCAGCCCCGGCCTCGGGCCCAGCACGGGGCCTGCAAGGGAGGGACGGATCCGCGGCCGCCCAAGCGGGCGGGCCTTTCCAAAGGGGCCCTCGCTGGGCAGGGGGGTGGCTATGAGCCCCCGACAAGCCCCTGGCAGCAGGCCCTGGCCCGCTCCAGCTTCGGCAAGAGGGGCCTGAGAACAGGGGGAAGAATTCTTGCTGACAAAAAACGAGGGCCTGGCAGGCCCAGAAAAGGAGTGGATGAGGCAGGTGGGCACTGCCCACCTGCAGGGCGGCTGGCAGGGAGGGACCTCCTTCTGCTCGTCCCTCCCCCAACCTTGAGCCTTTTTTCCAGAGTTCGAACCCAGGAGGAGCTGAGTGTGGTCCGCCTCATGGCAGGACACGGGAGGTGTTTGTGGGCCACCTGCCTCCCTGCTCCCCCTTTCCAGTCTCCTCTCAGGATTTGCACAGCTTTTCCGCCTTCCTGGCTTGAAGCCCCAACTTGAATTTGACCTTAAATCTCTTCCCTGGAGTTTATCACCCGGGGCCCACTGGCTTCACAGCCCTGAGTATCAGTTTCTCCCACCCCAGGCTGTTTCTGAAGGTTCTAGTGAGGTTAGTGGCGTGGAAGTGACTGAACTCAAGCAGGTTAGCAAGGGAGGTAGCCCAGCTCCAGGGCAAGCCGTCTTGGGTTTGGGAATATTTTGGTGAGGAACAACGGCTCTGGGGAAGGGAGGGCAGGCGGAGGTCCCTGGGCGACCTCAGTTCCCAGTTAGCACTCAGGATGTCAGGGCAAACCCCTTCCCGGGCCCTGCTGGCCTGTGACTTTGATCAACTGATGCCTGCAGGGCAGGGAGGCCTCTGTGCATAAACAGATTGTCAGAACCTAGGAATCTCCACTTCAAGAAGATTACAGGCCCCAGGGCCATCTCGGGGAGCCCTGCCCCCCAACCAAGGCCCTGTGCATGGGAAGGGGTTCGCTTTGGATTTACAGAGGCAGCAAAGGAAATGTTGGTTTTCAGAATTGGTTATTTATATGCCCTCCCCACCCACCTACACATCTTCTGGGATCCATGGAGCAACCTTAACCCTTGATGCTGCTTCTTAGGAGGGATGGGCCGAGCAGCAGGCCGGCTGCTGGGCTGCCTGACAGCATCTCAGTGCACCCGGTTCGCCCTCTAGTGATGAAGCAAGTAATGACAGCCTCGATTCACAAGTGCCTTTTTTTTTTTTTTGATAGCTCTAGTTCCTGAAGGGCATTTGACTGCTAACTAGAAGGCTGGCGGTTCAAATCCACCAGCGAGTCCTCAGAAGGAAGGTTGGGCAATATACTTACATAATGATACTGCCTTGGAAACCCAAGAAGGGGTCGCTATGAGTCGGCTCCGACTGCACAGCAATGCCTTAGTTGCTGAAAAGGTAGTGTAGTGTAGTGCCTAAGGCACTTGACTGCTAACCAGAAGGCTGACAGTTCAAACCCACCAGCCACTTCTCGGAAGGAAGGTTGGGCAATCTACTTCTGTAGCGATAACGCCTCAGAAGCTCAAGGAGGGGTCACTATGAGTCTGGTCTGACTTGATGGAACATAATAACAACAACCGCAGTTCCTGAAAGGAGCTCTGGTGGCGCAATGGTTAAGCGCTCGGCTGCTAACCAAAAGGTCAGCAGTTCGAATCTACCAGGTGCTTTGTGGAAGAAAGTTGTGGAATCTGTTTTCATTAAAGATTTACAGTTCAACCCTATCCTGTAAGGGTCACTATGAGTCAGAATTGACGCGACAGCAGTGGGTTTTGGTTTTTTTTACATAGTTCCTGAGCTGACTGACCCCTGAGCTGACCCCTAACAGTGTTGAGCTCCCCATGTGGATTAGCTCCTTTAATCCCTTTAACTCTGTGAAGTGGGAATTATTAACCCTATGCCACAGGTGAGAAAATTTCAAGGCCCAGAGGTGGGAAAGTGACTCCTCTGAGGTCCCGCTGCCCAGCTTCCTGGCTTCCTCCTGGATTTTCCTTCCTATCTCTCAAGGAGTACATGTTAGGTGGTGGGGGGGTACGTGGACACACAGGAGACTGAAGGCTGCAGAGTTGGTGGGGCAAGGCCTTGATTGGACCTTTAAAGGAAGCCTGGCCAAGGGGTGGTGGAGACCAGCTTAGTCTGAACCCACTGCTCTGGCCCAGGAGGCCGGCTGGTATAGTAAACAGGTTATACTCAGAGACCGCTTCCTTTGTGCCAGGAGCTGTTTTGAGGGGAACAGGAGCCCCCTGGGTAAGTTTACAGATGGGGAAACTGAGGCCAGGGATGTTAAGTAACTTGCCTGTGGTCACACAGCTAGTCAGTGGCAGAGTCCAGGTCCCTGAACCTTCTGCAATGTCTAGTTACATGCCAAGCCCTCAAGGCCTTGTATGTCACCCAGAGATCAATAGCATGTTAACTATAGTTAAAAGAAAAACAAACTCACTGCCATCAAGTCCTTTGCGACTCACAGCAACCCCCATTGGGTTTCCAAGGCTGTAAACCTTTATAGAGGAGATTGCCCAGTATTCCTTCCGTGGAGCAGCTGGTGGGTTTGAACTGCCCGCCTTCCGGTTAGCAGTCAAGTCCCTTATCCACTACACCACTAGAGTTTACCACGTCCAATTCACCAGGCAGTAACTGTAGTTTGTAAGATCTAGGTTCAGTTTTCAAAGAATCCCCAACCTTGGGGGGGAAGGAGCAGAGTAAACCAATCAGTTTCTTTTGCTATTTATAAATTATCAAAATAAATGTCCCTCATAGACCTTTTGGGAACCATAGGTTGGAAACAACACTCTTGCTCATAAGCCAACCACCTGTGGATTCATCTTGCATTCATTGAGCACTTGCTACATGCTGGGCACTGGGCTAGGCAGGTGGGGTATACTTGATTGTCATAGGAGCCCCCTATGGCAGGTACTACAAATGAATGTACAGAGGCAACATGAGGCACAGAGGCTCACAGAGCCAGAGTCTTGTCCCAGGACTGATGGTCGCCCACGTTTTTTTCCACTCTCCCAGAGACACCACCATGCAGACTGGCAAACCCCTAATTACAGAACTCTGGGAGCTTAGGCGGTGTGCAGAGGCAGTAAACACTCACTCCAGGGAGTCAGGAAGCATGGGGCCCTGCTTACCACGCAGGTCTTTCCTTTGGGAAAGTGTAGGGACCCCAGCCCCTGGGGAGCTGGCATGAGGCCTGCCTGTCTCAGCTGGCTCTCGGGTGGGTAGACCTAGCAGTCAGCACAGGCCTGTATGCTGCCGCCTAGTGGTCGGTGGGGTTGTTGCTCACGCAGCCCCAGGAGGCCCTTGGCTAATGTGGCATTCGAGGGTGCATCTCCGTGGAGGGGGAGGGCCTCATTCTAAATAAAAGCAGCCTCTGATATTCCGCAATTAAGGCAGCAAACATCTCTTCTGGGGGTTGTGGTCAAATCCAACCTAGTCTTGGTGGGGTGTGTAGGCTACCTCTGAGGAACTGATTTAAGTGTCCAGCTCTGTGCTAGGCCTGGGGTAAGGGCATAGAGAAGCTCGAATGGGTCCAACCTGCACCCTGGATTTGCCTCTGGGACAGCCCCTCACTCGCACTGGCCTGGGTGGTCACCTGTCTGCCTTGTGCCTAGCCCAGGGCCTGAACTGAGCAGGACCAATGACTGCAAGGCCAGCTAGACGCCAGTCCAGCTGGAAACGGCTTTTGGCTGGATAGTGGCCCCAAGGTAGGACCACCTCTGTGGGCCAAGATGGCCTGGGAAAGGGCTGAGCAAGCAAGAGCTCAGGGTGTTGGGACCCTACAGGTAGGTCAGTGGGTGGAGCAGGATGGACTCATCCCTCTTGTCTGTTGCCAGGAACTCCACCAAGGAGTGTCAGGCTCGCTGGCATGCTTCCCAGAGTGGGGGCCATACAGGGCTTCTTAGCGAAAGGGCTGCCATCCTGTGCGTTCACACTGATGGTTGGTCCTTTAGCCACTTCTGCAACAGCAGTGACCAGGGCTTCATGTAGACAAGGGACCTTGGGACAGGCAGCAGAGGTAGCAGTAGCCATGGAGCCGGACCTGGACTGAGGCCCTAACATGTCCTCTGGCTTGAGGCAAATTGCTTCATCTCTGAGCATCTGCATCCTCACGTCTAATATGAGGTGTGACCACCTCTGGTCTAAGGCTCTCAGCACGGTGGAGTGAGAGACCACCTGGGGTGGCTGGTGTCCAGAGGAGGCCAGTGGAAGTCCTGAGCCCCACATCCACGCACAACCCCAGACCTGCACCTCACCCAGCCCCTGGCTCTCCCAGCAGGCCTCCCCACCCTGGTCTCCCCCGTACGCTCCCTGCCCAGCCCCTGGCTCTCCCTGCAGCAACCCCCCCCACACGGTCTCCCCACAGGCCCGGGCCCAGGCGGAGGCCCTCCGCATCAGCGATGTGCACTTCTCCGTCAAGCCCAGCGCCAGCGCCTCCTCGCCCAAGCTGCACTCCAGCGCGGCCGTGCACCGGCTCAAGAAGGACATCCGCCGCTGCCACCGCATGTCCCGCCGCCCCCTGCCCCGCCCAGACCCCCAGGGGGGCAGCCCCGGCCTGCGCCCCCCCATCTCGCCCTTCTCCGAGACGGTGCGCATCATTAACCGCAAGGTGAAGCCTCGGGAGCCCAAGCGGAGCCGCATCATCCTGAACCTGAAGGTGCTAGACAAGGCCGCGGGCGGAGGGGCTGCGGGACAGGGGCCCGGGGCCCTCGCTCGGCCCAAGGTCCCGTCGCGGAACCGGGTCATCGGCAAGAGCAGGAAGTTCAGCGACAGCATCCTGCGTACCCAGATCCGCCACATGAAGTTCGGGGCCTTCGCGCTGTACAACAAGCCCCCACCCGCACCCCTGCTGCCTCCGCCCGCAGGCAAGACCGAAGCGGCGGCCGCCTCCCAGGGCCCCGGGCTGCTGCTGCCTGCGCCCTACGACCGCAGCTCCAACTCCTCCGGCTGCCCCTCCCCAGCACCGCGGCCCTCTGAGCCTGATGACGTACCCCCCAAGCTGCTCCCCGAGATCCTGAACCCACCGACCCCCGACTGGCGTGAGTCCGAGGTGCTTGACCTGTCCCTCCCATCCGAGTCGGCAGCCACCAGCAAGCGGGCACCCCTGGATGTCGCCACCGCAGCGGGTCAGGCACTCCCCACAGCCCCCGACTCCAATGCTGCTGCCCAGCCTGAGCCTGAGGCCGGGGACTGGCGCCCCGAGATGTCCCCCTGCTCCAACGTGGTCGTCACCGATGTCACCAGCAACCTCCTGACGGTCACCATCAAGGAATTCTGCAACCCTGAGGATTTCGAGAAGGTGGCGTCTGGGGTGGCAGGCACCACCGGGGGAGGTGGTGGTGGCAGTGGGGCCAGCAAGTGAGGGGTCTCCACCAAGGAGAGGGGGCTTTGGGGGGGGAGGGCGTCCTGCCCAAAGTCACCCTCTTGTTGCACCCGTGCCCTCACCCTTACCTGCCTGTGCTTTGCTTGTCCCAGTGACTCATTGTTGACCGTGGGATGGGACTGGGCGGTTGGAGCCCCGAAACCCAGTGGCTGGGGACAGTGCGGGCAGAGTTTAGGGGCAGGACGGGCCAAGGGCACTGACAAGTGCTCCTTCCTGGCACCCTCCCTGCCTGGCACACAGTGGGTCCCGCTGGGTGTTTTCTGGGGAGCCCCAGAACTTAGGGTTCAGCTGCCTCTGCCACATCCCACTCCTTTTCCCCCAGTTTGCTTCCTGCTCTGGTTACAGCGTCCAACTGCTCAGTGCTGCCTGGCAGCTATGAGGGTCCTTTGGAGACCCCCACCCAGGGTAGGCACATCCCTTTTCCTCCTCCAGATGCCTAGGCAGAGGGACAAGGATGGGTTCCTGCCTGTTGGGCTAGGCCCTGAACAGGGGCCAGGGTTGAGACCAGGCTCAGCCCCTGCCTGCCAGTCAGAAGCTGGGCCAGAGGCCTGGGTCTTCCCTGCTCGCTCTGGGACAAGGCCCAAGCAGGCCCCCTAACCCCACCCTTCAGTGTCCTGATCCCCGTCTGGAGGGTGGGAGGATCTGGCAGGGAGCTAACCCTGCCACAGCTCCCTGGCATCTAGAGACGCCTTCCTTCAGTTCTCGACCAAAGGTGCTATATGAGCCTGCTGTGGAAACTCGCGGTGTGCGTGTGCGTCCACCACCCCTTGGCGTGTTTGTTCGTGTATCCGTATGTGCATTGGCGTTAGGCCCCAGGCTTCCACATGGCACCCTTACGGTTCCTCAGAATGAACAGGGTTGTTGAAGGTCTGGACCTTCCCTCGCCATGGGCTGGAGTCTGAGGAGACGGTTATGGAAGCCACCAGGCCTGCCCTCCCGGCCCGGTGTGCCGAGGGTCTGCCCTCTGCCTTAGGGGTGGTCAGCCTGACCAGTCAGGCCTTCACTGCAGACATGGCATGGTGGGGACTGAGGTGGAGGGGGGGACCCGCACACCAGGCTTCTCTTTCCTCCTGGGGGTTTGCCAAGGAAGGAGGAAGCTTGGTAGCCTTCCCTGGGGGTCTCCCCAGCTCCTCTCACCCCCCTCTCTCTTGCTTCTGATGCTGAGGCTTGCTCACAGCCCAGCCTGCTCGAAGCAGCCAGAGGCCTCGGAAACCCTGGGCAGCCTCTCTTTCCCCAGTGCTGCCAGGGAGCCAAGGCGTCCATGCCAGCGGCAGAGACCAAAGCCCCCGTTTGAGGCCAGGCATTGGGAGGATAGGCAGGCCCGAGGGGTGTGGTTCCAGGGAGGGGCTGGGCTCCAGGAGAGCAAGGGCATTTGGTCTCAGGAGCATGGTCAGGGGTGGAACAGTTGGTACTTCCAGTTTGATAACTGATAGTCGAAGGCAGGAGGGAGGCAGAAAAGGAATCCAAGGGGCTCACAGATGCCCTTGGCCCTTGACGTGGGAGGACACGCTCCTGAATCTCCCTGCCAGGGATGGCAGCACAGCCCAGGGCGCACCCCCCCCCCGGGATGTTGAACAGGAGCCCTCACAGGAGCGAGGCCAGCATGCCTGGACCCCACCCTGCCCTTCGTGTTGGCTCTGTGGCCCTCTAAGTGCCAATTGGCTTTTCCCCAAAATAAGGGCTGGTATTTCCCCTCCATCGTTGGAGGAGACCTCCCCCAGATGCCCCCCGCCCCCGCCAGGTGAGCAGCCACCTGGGTACAGTTACAGGTGTCTCCAGAGACCATAGAAATGTGTTTTCTGAGGGTCCGTGTCATTCGTGACTTTTTTTGTAAAGAAGTTGTGTTTTCAGAGGTGATTTTATGACAGGAAAGTGAAAGAATTAGTTTTGCAAAAAAAAAAAACCGACAAAAAAAAGATAGAAAAAAATATTGTGGGATTCCTATGGGGTGGGGGGGGGAGAAAGAGATATTTAAAAAAAAAAAAAATAGTAATGCAGTGATTGCACAGGTGAGGTGGCAATGTGAGGGAAGGGGTGGAGGCCTAGACCTGGCTGGCAGGTCCCCTAGAGGCACCATGGGAGCAGCCAGAGGCCTGTCACTCTCCTTCCCAAGCCCAAGGCAGGGAGGTAGGCCATCCCTGCTATCCTGGGCCCAGACTTCCTCCACACCCCACACCCCCATCCTTCCTGCTCAAAGGGAACTAGCCAGAAGCTGCAAGTCAGGTGGAGGTTGAGGGGAACTGAGCTTTGGGACAGGGTGGGGTGGACCCACAGTTGGAGATTCGCTCCAGGAAGGCTGGTGAGTTAGGGACCCTGGTTTCTTGGTCCCCTCCAGGCCTTTGCCAGCTTGTTGGGCCATCTGGTCCTACCACCCCCACCTATGAGGGGCATTACCCCAAAGACCATGACACCCCTGAACTTCCCCAGCCAGGAAGAGAATCAGGCTTCAGGAAGAAAGAAGCTGTGGTCCCTGGGAGAATTGGCTATGGCTCTGAGGATCGGGGTCACTGTGGGGAGAAGAGAATGCCGGTCTCTTCTTTCTGGGGCTTTCCTTAGGGGCGTTGCTGCCCAGGGCCCCAAGCCAGACCTCGCCTCAGGGTGTGTGCAGAGGCACCACGCACACTGCCTGGGGGTGGGGCTGGGCAGGACGACCAGAGCCCGCCTTACCTCTCCCACAGGGTGGCTCTGAGCTGCAGCCCTCTAAGTTCCTGCCCCCCACACACACACACTTGCACGGACCAGCCTCCCATGGGCCCTTCCCCCACCCCGTCCTGCTGTTCCATTTGCCTAATTACCCAGCAGGAGTTGCAGTCCAGTTTGCAGTTGCATACAGAAAATAAATTTTGTATGCGGAATGCCCCCCAGACCCCATCGCCCCCTTTCAGTGCTGGTTGGGGCTTCCTTTGTAGTCTCCCCTTCAATGCCGCTCCCTCCCCGCATGTCATAGGAAGCAGGTGAGGTCCAGCGTCTGGTTTGAGGCTGGAAGCTGGCACGCACCCGTTTCGCTTTTCTTCTGACCTTCAGCTTGCCCTTCTGTGAAATGGGTGTATTGGGTGGCGGCAAGCTTTTCAGCACTGCTGGTGTGGAGCAGCAGGTGGTGGTCAAGGTTGCTAGTCGGTTACCTCCAGCCTCTCACGTCCCCCCCCACACACACACACCCAATACTCTCCCCCTGCAAAGGAGTCCAGGTCAAAATGAGCCTCATCCCTCCTGTGGGAAGAGGTGATGATCAGTGGGCAGAGTGGGTAGGGTCACCCCAGTTCTAAGGTGAGGGAAGGGGCTGAGAGGCAGAGCCTGGAGCACAAGCCGTTAGGAAAAGCTCCTCAAGAAGGTGGCACCAGGCCCTGGAGCCACCATCAGGATGTCGGGGAGGCCCCAGGCCCCTGAGGGTCAGCACAGAAAAGGGAGCTCTGTGGGGATCCAAGGAGACAAACCCCTGTATACCACCTCTCTGGGGTTTGTTTGGTCTGTTTTTGGTTTTTTTTCCCTCTCTGTTTGTTTTTCTTTTTGGTTGCACTTACCCCACACTGGCCATTGGAGCCCACCTGCACTAGCCCAGGCAGCCTCTTCGGGGTTCACAGGATTTTAAGGAATCACTTTTGTGAAGAAGAAAGCAAGCTGTTGGGTTGCTTGGTTGGTGTTTTCTGTCTGCATCTCTTGGGGTCAGAGAGCCCCGAAGGAGGGGCTCACTCTCCAGAAAAGGAGCTCCCCAACAATCGCTGAGGTGCAGACCCAGGTGGGTGGGGGCGGTTCTCCCCACCTTGAAGGAGTCAACCCTTCAGGCCAACGGTGATTAAGTGCCAACTATAGGCAGGGCGTCAGCTGGGCCAGGGAGAGCGGGCGTTTAACGGCGCGGCCAAGGGCAGAAGGCACCAAGCCCCAGAGCTGCCCATGCTGTTGGAACAAAGTGGAGATAGAGAGTATTTGCTGGTTTTAATTTAATGACACAAAGGCCTAAAGAAATATGTATCTTATTATTATTTTTTTTTTTTTTTAATTTTTGAGAAGCTCATTTAATGACTCGTGCACGGATGAATTCTATATATATAATACACATATATAGGTCTATGTTCGGGGAGGGGCGTGGTCTCTTTTTCTCACTCATTTTTAAAATGAAGTGTTGTTGCCTTTGTCTGTGGTTCAACCATCCAGCTCCTAGCTGGCTAAACTTTGCCTCCAGTGGAATCGAGATAGGGAAGCAGCTGGGGTGGGCAGGCGCGAGGGACTCGGGGGTGGCCCCCCGCAGCCCTCCTGCTCCTCCCCCAGAGGAGACTGGGTGCAGAAGGCGGGGTGGGGTTCGGGTTGTGTTTCTGGGCCGGGGGAGGGTGGGTTGGTACCGATTTCTCTTGTATATTTGTTTCTGCTGCTCTTCGATATTGTATCAATGCCAGGAAGGGGGTGGGTGAAGAACCCTTTTACCCCCAAATAAATGGTCACATTCCGAAGCGAAGGCATTTCGTTTCTTCAGGTCTTTACACAGCGTCAGGCCTTACCTGCTCCAGCTGAGGTGAGGAGAGGGAGGCCCTGTCCCCCAGGTGGTCGGGGCCTGCATGTCCTCAGGCCCACTTCCAATCTCAGTCACAGGCCACCTCACAACTGACCAATGAAGTGAGTTGGGCCACGGACACCCGGTGTTCGGAGAATTCTAGACACCGGCCTTGGGGATGGAGCACTAGCCGGCACATGGGGAAGTGGGGTCACCACTGTAGGCCTTGCTGTCAGAGTAACAGCCCTCAGAGAAGACGGGGCCTGTGGCGGAATAAGCCTCAGATGGATCACCAGAGCCCAGGAGAGCGGGCTGCAGGTGGGCACGGGCTGCCGGTTGCCCTTGATTCCCACTGTTTGATGACACCATGGCCCTCTGCTCCGGAGAATGATGATCCTTCATGTTGGTTCCTGGCTGGGCGGTTTTCTGGGCACTTGTGCCTTCTCTGAGGAGACCACCAGTGTTCTCCCCTTAGAGCTGGGCATCCCACCCCCATCCCCAGCAGCAGCCCCAGATACACTTGGACACTTCCTTCTAGGCCTGTACAGGGCCTGTGAGCTCCATCTTGGCCCAGGCTGCCACCCTTGGCCACCCTTAGCTGTTGACCTTGACTCCTCCCCTTTCTGGCCAAACCAAACCAGTTAT